TTATTTTGATAAAATAAGCATAATTTAGAGTCCTTTGCCTTTCATATAAGCCACCTCTGATACCAAATGATCAACTAGAGGTCAAGATATAATTTGTTGTTTCTAAAACTTGGATAGGCGACAATACTTTTGTCAGGTAGTGTACAGTCAAATGGGGACTTATGCTATGTGCTTATTTCTCAGATTTAAAAAATATTCTTTCATTTTGTTTCAAACAGAAAACAAAAGTTCCTCCAACAGAGAATGACACATGATCTGTATTTACAATTACGTAAGTTAGCTACCAGTGTGACATTACACTCATGACTGCATGAAATAAACCTCAAGTGAGCAGACTTTAGTTTCAGTTAATGCCTTAACAAGGCAGACTCTTTGAAATTTGTGAAAATTTTCTGTAATCTTAAAATGCTGTTAATTCGGTAACATTGTAATAACTATTATTAAACGCCTGAATAATAAGATATGTGAATGCTAATTTGTATAGTTTATAAAACATTTATGTACACATTCTGAATGATCTTAAAATAGCACCAAGTTTTCTTAAATTACAAGTTTGTTCATTCATTCATTTTCTTGTCGGCTTAGTCCCTTTATTAATCCGGGGTCGCCACAGCGGAATGAACCGCCAACTTATCCAGCAAGTTTTTACGCAGCGGATGCCCTTCCAGCCGCAACCCATCTTTGGGAAACAGCCACACACACTCATACACAGAAAAAAGTGTTGCATGCAGAACTGTTGCAAACAATTTATTTGTGTTGAATTTAGACAAACAAATTAAGTTTAATAATGTTCAACTTAATTTGTTTGTTTAAATTTAACCCAAATAAATTGTTTACAACCACTTAACGTAAAAAAAATTGATTAATCCAAGGAATCATCTTTGAATAATTTTTTTCAGTGTACACTACGGACAATTTATCCTACCTAATTCACCTGTACTGCATGTCTTTGGGGGAAACCTGAGCACCCGGAAGAAACCCACGCGAACGCAGGGAGAACATGCAAACTCCACACAGAAACGCCAGCTGAGCCAAGGATCGAACCAGTGACTCAGCGACCTTCTTGCTGTGAGGCGACAGCACTACCTACTACGCCACTGTCTCGCATTAGTAGTTTGTACATAATGAAATACTTGATTATTGAGAAAATAATCATCTTCAGATTTTGGTACTAATTTGTAAGAGTCAAGGGCGTAGATTTGCTTTTGATATTGGTCGGGACCTAATTTGACTCCAACCTTCCCCAATTGTTAAATTTAGATGTAACTTTTAAAATGTAAAGTTAAAGGAATCTCTGACAAAAGGTAGTTTAATAAAGACTTTGGTTTACTGCACCTTATTTGTGCATAATCACTTTCCACCGCATCTGAACACATTTTTGAAAGTATAATATTGCCATTTATCCACTTTAAGCTAAACAGATGAAAAGATAAAAGATGACTTTACATGTCCATGTTCATTCCCTTGTCTGAGCGTGCAAACAGAACAGCACATGTTCTATTTCACACTTTAAAAAAAACTATAATAAATTAAAAAATCAAATACAATTAGTAATAAAAACAACATTAAATCAAGCATGTCCAATGGTGCAAAAGTAAATTTTCAACCTTTTGTCTTGCTACAATCCAACCCGCTCTTTAAGATCTCAAAACTCAGGGCTTCTGGTAGTACCTAGAACAGCAAAGTTGAGTAAAGGAGGTAGAGCCTTCTCATTTATGGCTTCTCATTTTATTAATCCAGCAAGTTTTTACGCAGCAGATGCCCTTCCAGCCGCAACCAATTTCTGGGAAACATCCACCCACACACTCATACAGAACGGACAATTTAGCTTACCCAACTCACCTGTACCGCATGTCTTTGGACTGGGGGGGAAACCTGAGCACCCTAAGGAAACCCACGCGAACGCAGGGAGAACATGCAAACTCCACACAGAAACGCCAACTGAGCCGAGGATCAAACCAGCAACCCAGCGACCTTCTTGCTGTGAGGCGACAGCACTACCTACTGCACCACTGCTTCGCCCATCCCCGTATTGTTTGAAACAATAATATTATTATAATTATTATAATAATTATTGTGAAAAGTGCTATAAAAATAATCTTGAATTTAATATTCCAGTAAAATCTCAAAATAAAATATTTATGGAAGCCATCAAAAACCATGATCCCCCCCCCGAAAAAATAGCAAATGAATAAAGACGCTCAACTCACATTGAATCATTACTTGTTGCTATTTTTACATGTGCAGATTACACCAGTCTGATCGCTCTTAGCTCCAAGAACACACTGGCTTCATTCCATAACACTCCATGCATGAATCACACACTTGACTCCATAAAGACGGTATTATCCACAGCACGGGTCAAGCGGCTAAACTAAAGTCACACTCTTAGCACGACCTCGGGAACGCTGTGTTGAGTAAACTCTTTGCCCACGAAGACTGGAGGTTAAATGAAACTCTCCGACTAATAAGATATAAGGTGACGATTAGATGAAAGAAGTTTACACACCAGTGATGATGCTGGACATATATTTAAGGGCTGTCTCCATTACACTTCATTACGCTGCTTTATTTATGCTGGTAAAAGACACAACAAGCTTAGTGATTTTAAAAGCCAATTAGGCATGACTGGTAAGGGGGGAAGGTGGGAATGAGGTGGTCCAATAGCGACTGTGTTAACAAACCAATGTTTTTTTTAAACCAGTGAGCCTATAAATACCATTCGGACACCACAAACACGCATGTAAATGATTCAATTTGAAGTCATTTCAATTTTATTTTTTGAAACGTTGCAAATCTGTTGATGATTCATTGGATTTGCCGAGTTTATTAAAGGGAAGTGTTTGCAATGAGCTGAATATATAAAATTAAGCAATGTTCAGCTTTCTTTGTTTGTTTAAATGCATCCCATATCAATTATTTGCAACCACTTACCTTAAAGAAAATAGAGAAAATCCAATGAATCGTCTTTTTTAGTATGGTAATCTCTAAATTTGTTACTTAATTACTTACTTCCAGGGCTGTTCATATCGAACTTGATATTTTTAGCCGCACCACGTTGGTGTTTCGTAACATCTTATTTTTATGAGGTGGGTCGTTACGCTCAACCTTAAACCTGGAGGACCAGGACATACACACAAACACAACGGACAATTTAGTTCATCCAGTTCACCTATAGCACGTCTTTGGACTCTGGGGGAACCGGAACACCTGGACGAAACCCATGCCAACACAGGGAGAACATGCAAACTCTATACAGAAATGGCAATGACCCACCTGGGGCTCGAACCAACAACCTTCTTGCTATGAGATGACAGCACTACCCACCGTGCCGCCCCTGTAAAATTTCATTCATTCATTTTCTTTTCGGCTTAGTCTCCTTATTAATCAGGGGTTGCCACAGCAGAATGAACTGCCAACTTATCCAGCATATGTTTTACGCAGCGGATGCCCTTCCAGCCGCAACCCATCACTGGGAAACATCCGCGCACACTCATTCACACACATATACTATAAACAATTCCCCTGTACCACATGTCTTTAGACTGTGGGGGAAACCGGAGCACCCAGAGGAAACCCACGCTAACACGGGGAGAACATGCAAACTCCACACAGAAATGACAACTGACCCAGCCGAGGCACGAACCAGCGACCTTCTTGCTGTGAGGCGAACATGCCACAGTGTCACCCCTCTAAAATTTTATTATATATATTTTTTTTAAAGTCTGATTTATGACTAACAGTTGTCTCAAAACTAAGCATTATGATAGTAAATAAATGTAAATCTGAACTATATCTGACATTTATAAAAGGATTGATCATTTTTAACGATTACAAAAAATAAATAATGTGTGTGTGAACCTGTGATGATGGGCTTTTATACACTTATTACTGCTCTGCTAAATTTCAGTCACAAGATCTTAAGAGAAAATGTGAAAAGCTTATCCGAGTAATCGATTATTCAATCACACACTTTATTCAATTCATTACAGTGGTCAACTCATTGATTATTAAAATAATTGGTAACACTTTATTTTGATGGTCCATTTGAGTATTAGTAGACTGCCAGCTTAATATCTGTTAAAACAGACATTCAACAGACATTTAATTAAGAAACTTTGCCAGTACATGTCAACTTACACTAACCCTAACCCCAACCTGTCAGTCTACTTATGGTAATGAGAATGAGTTGGCATGTAGATGCAATGTAACTTAAATTCAACAAACGGACCATCAAAATAAAGTGATAATAAAGTGACTAAATAATTACTAGCTGCAGCCCTAATCTGAACCATTTTTCTCTTGCCATATCAAAGCTGTTTACATATACGGTTAAAAATATAACCCTATTTAACTCCAGCATTGTGAACAGAGATGTTTGATTAAAAGTCAGTGTGATTTTTAATCAATAAAATTAAAATGATTCTATATTTGCAGTTTTTGGTTATTATTAGGGATCAGGTATCATTCAAAAGCATCTTCCACAGAGCAACTGTTGTACCATTATGTGTTGTTGTTGTCACGCTGTTGTAGTCAGAATTATTAGCCCCCCTGTATATTTTCCCCAATTTCTGTTGAATGGAGAGAATTTTTAAACACATTTATAAACATAATAGTTTTAATAACTCATTTATAATAACAGATTTATTTTATCTTTGCCATTACAGTAAATAATATTTGACTAGATCATTTTCAACATACCAGTATTCAGCTTAAAGTGACATTTAAAGGCTTAACTTAATTAAAACATTGTGATATATTAAGGAAGCTACTAATATTGACCTTAAAATGGAGTACAAAATTGTATAACTGTTTTCATTCTAGCCTAAATAAAAGAAATAAGACTTTCTCCAGAAGAAAAACATTTAGGAAATAGCCTACTATGTAAATTTTCAACATCATTTAGGAATTTTTTTTTTTTAAATCACAGAAGGGCTAAAAGTTTTGGCTTTAACTGCACACCTTAAAGTAAACCGGTAAAAGAGTTATAAAATACTCACAGCCGCTCGACATCCTCCATGCGTCACGAGCCACTGCAGGCAGGTCAGGTTGCCCGTGGCTGCGGCGTCATGCGCAGGACTCGCGCCGTTTCTCGCCAGGCTGTTCGCCGGTAAACCCGCTTCATCCACCAAATACCGCAGACAGGTGAGCTTCCCTGCTCGGGCGGCGTGGTGTACGGGAGTCGCTCCCAGCACATCTTTCACGTCGCCGTTGAGTACTTTCTCCGCGAATTGTACTTTCAGAGTTTGCACATCCCCTTGCCTCGCAGCGAGAAGTGTCCTTTCAACCACCATGATGATGCAGCGCCTCCAAACAAATGACTATTAGCGCACCATTAAGCGTCAGTTATTATTAGTCCACACTACAGAAAGCGTTTTCCGCGCAGCCTCCCGGTAAGGGTGTCACTTTGTTCCGTCCATCCCTCTTTGTTTGAGTCACCACACCATAACGGTACTTGACCTATATCTAGGGCATATGTTGCGACATTACAGTATGACTTATCATGAGGCGTAAAGCAGGCCTACCTCCATTCACTGTGCGCACAGAAGACAAGCCAAGCATTTCTTCACGATCCTAGTCGTCTGTGAATGTACCCATCCTATTGACTATACTTTGTCTGCGCACTCGTAGCATTTCACCTGTTGCTCTCCTCGATTCCTAACGGCACACAGACCGAACTAAACAACGTCCCCACAAAACCATGGGTCCCTAGCGCGTTATGCGAAGTAGGCTATTTGGCCTGTTGTCAAACGGTTCGTTCAGAAGCCTTGAGGGACTGAACTTGTGAATAATCCATTAAGGGGAGGAGAACTCTAACATGTTGGCCCCACTCAAATCGGCTCAGATGTTAAAGGGACAGCGCGTCATGATGACGCTGTTTGGTTAAGGGATGTCTGCTTAATTGTTTTCTTATTTAAAGTTTTTAATTTAATGCACATTTTCCTATTGATGTTCATGACGTCATGCGATTTGTTACTTTGATCGAGTTTTTTATGTTATGAGGATAAATATATATATTTATTAATAGCCTATGTTTTCAACCTGTCTTTGCAGAACAAAAGAAAAATATATTATTATTATTATTATCATCATTATTATTATTGCTATTATTATTATTAGCATCATTCCACATGTTTAAATGTAATGTTATCAGTGTGCCTGTATTTTCGAACGCGCAGGTGCCACCTGCTGGTTTTATCACCTGAAATGGTTTGTAGGCCCCGTTTTACCAATAGATGGCAGGCTCGCTCAATAGTTTGTTTATTATAGAGAATGTACGTTTTAGTCGACAAATTGAATGTCAGTAATTAATCAGACTTGCTTACATTTTAATGCTAGTTTGTTCCCAATACTGAGGTGGAGATCTGATGCTTTTTATGGCTATTACAACACTGTAAAAAATTATATGATCAATTAGTCCTGTCAGCATATGATTTAGTTAATTGTAACTTATTCAACTAAGTTAATCATGTACTTAATTTTATAAGTTACCCAAGCTGTCAGTTTAACATAATATTGGTTTAATAGACTCATAAGGTTAATTTAAATCAGCTTAAACATTAAGGCCACCAGGATTTTTTTCAGTGTGTTAAATAGTTTTTTTCTTATTACATTCATTGTCAAGTAACCGTTCTAATAATAATAATAATAATAATAATGTATTTTACCATAGCTAAACAATGCACATCTTTTTATTTGACTCTTCAGGATAATAGACTGGATCACTCTATAGTTACTGCTTATATATTTTTATTTTTCTAATTGCTTCAAATAATCTATAAGTTAAAATTTAGATGGGCATGACTGACCTTGTGGTCGAGTTCTCCCAGTAGTCGGCCCTTTTTTTAGTTGTACTTTTTAAATCTACCTTTGTGCCTTGATAAATAATTAACGATTTATGTCCATGACTATTTTAGAATGCTTAATTTTTGTTTTTAAATAATTTTAAATACATGCGCATTTCTCGAGCCTGAATCACTCATGTAGGTAGAATTATAAGGACGATTCTTATTTTGATTTCTTTATTTACAATAAAGTGCAGGGTGTTTTCAACAATACGGCTTTTTAATCATGTTTACTCGATGAATAAATCATTTGCTACTTCTAAAGCTTATAGGCTACTGCATTTTTATGCAACCGACACACAACACCAGTTTCTCCAAAAGCGCAACAGCTGGAGCCGGCGCGTGCTTTATGCTGATCAACCATTTGGCGTCAGTCTCGTGCCTGGCGCGTGCCATCCGCATCTATTTAACTATTCCGAGGCGCACGAGCCAGGCTTATTAATGGATAATCCCTCAGGGACTGTTGCATGACTAGTCTCACAGGACAGCTCAGACCTTTGGTTGAGTGATAGTCGCGCAGCGCTTACAAAGAGTCAAATACGCATCTCATAAAGCTGTATTGTCTGTTGTTACACCAGCAAAATGTATCCAAATTAAATTAATCAGAAATAACTTTTTTACAGTGTTGTGTTGTGGGGTAATTACAAATGTTTAAAATATTATTTTAAAACCCAAACTATACCTTTTGAATAATAAAATAAATATTTAAAACTATAAAAGTAGGCACAATAGCTTAATAAAGTAATAAATACCGTTTTAAACACACAAATACAGCGTTTTACTTAATTTAAACTTTATAGATCTATACAGTTGAAGTCAAATTTATTATCCCATTTCCCAAGAGCTGTTTAACGGAGACCATTTTTTATTTTCAAACGTTGGCCTAATTGTTTTAATAACTAATATCTAATAAATAATTTAGGCTATTTTGAGACAAGATTCATTAGGCAAGTCAATGGACAAAAGTGATTTGTATAAATCACTGAATTCTGTATAAAATATATACATTTATTAAGGGGACTAAAAATAGTAATCTTTAAAATTGTTTTAGAAAACAAAATGCTTTTGTTCCAGCCAAAAACAACTGACTTTTAAAACAATCATATTAAAATACAGATCATATTGGAAATGTGAAACTTGAAAAATCTAAAATAATTTTTAAAATGTAAATAAAAATAATTATATTTTATTTACGGAATTTTGATTCATTAATATAATTAGAATAGAGTCAAAGATAAACAAATAATGGTCGACCTCTTTTACAGGCTATAACTTGTCAAGATTAATTTCAAGTGCATATTTTACATGTTGAGTTTTGTGACCCAAGTTTACCTATTCACTTTTATTTAACATCATTGTTGTGAACATCTTTGTGTGCACTATCAAAGATTTAGGTCAAGCCAGCAGTTAAATGAGCTTTGTCTCATCTTTGTCCAACGGATATTGGAAAAATTCCTCTCGAATTACCCGTGTGAAAGTAGGCTATCAGGAGCAGTTCAGAGAGACAATCTAACGGTCACCCCTCTGAAAGGAAGAGAGCATGGGAAAAGAGGGATATAAAGTGCACGCGCCGAGCGTGTGACAGTTATTCAAATTTCCCTCCAATTAGGCCAACTGAAACTCCATTGTGCTCGCCATCTGCTGCCAATCCCGCATGGGACTGTTCCTAGACTGCTTCAACCTTATCCATAGAGAGCTGGGAAACAGACACCGCATTCTTGTATGCACAATCTTCACTCTAAAACACATTAGATGCACTTTAATTCCTGATTTTTATTAAGAAAAGCCTACATTAGGTTACAGTGTATGTTGTTAAAAAATGAGATGTTTGAATTGTCATTTTCCTTCATGCATTGCACATAATTTTTGTTATTGATTGAAAAATAATTTAATTTCTTCTTTTCTTTCAGCATTGATTTCCATTTGACCTTTATTTTAGTATTGTTGCAGCGCGTCATGATGTCATTCATTTAAAAGAATATAGATGCTTTATTTTTTTTTTACATGTAGGCTGTTTGTTTGTTTGATTTTTCTAACTAAATCAAGTTTAAAATTAATTTTTATTGTCGTTTATTTGTCGTTCCTTCACACCGTGTTGTTCCTCACTGTGGCCCATCTGCCTCAGCGCGTGCCATTCATTAGCGCCGCTCAGATGAGATCGTATGGGCTTCGTGAAATAATATAAAAGACTGTATAAATGTGTTATATTTAAATACATGCAAACCCTTCTTTACTTTCATACCCTTCTGTTTTTTTTTCAAATCTCAGGATAATATGGTAAGCTAAAACATTGTATAAATTATATTCAATGGTTACCTCAAGGAGCTTTAATGATTAATTTTTTTTACAGAGCATTGAGAACAAAATCTGCGAACAAAAACAAGACCTTAGCGCTCAGACCAAGTTAAAGATAACATGTTGAAGATCTGCTTGAAGTTGCAAATAATAAAGTAAATATTTAATATAGAAACAATTGAGCAGATATTTAAAATAAGACACCACAACAGAGGAATGGAAATTCTTTATTTTCTGGAAGCTTATTTGATTTGATGTTAGCAATGAAGACACAGAAGCCAAGTAGAAAAATATGTTTATTTCGCATTCTGCACACACACACACATACTCACTCACTCACTCACTCACTCACTCACTCACTCACTCACTCACTCACTCACACGTTGTGATTCTCTTTAGATACAAAGTATAGAACTTCATCAAACAAATTAAATTAATAACTACCCCTAAACCGTTTTAGCATATGAAGCCTATATATTTTATTATAAGAAATGCGTCACATTCACTACATGCAACTAGTGCTGTGCAACAAAAATATGATCATTTCACTTATTTTTATCTCCTAACCCTTTGTTAGGTATACCATAACATTCTAATCAGTTCTGACCAGGTTTATGTTAAATATCATTGACGATTAAGGTTAGGTGGGTATGGGCAGATTACATTTTCGGACATTAATAACGTTCTAGGATCAACAAAATGTGTTGACTTCTCAAAAACAGTATATGCTTACACTTTATCTTAACTTTTCCTTGTTCAGGTTTAACTATTCATTTAACTGCAAGGAACTATATACTATATATGCATATACTAGGCTATATGACATAATTAACTGTAATTACTATAGTTTGTTCTCTTACATGGAACACGCCCTAAAGTAAAAGTGTTACCAAACCTTTTATTAGAAATCCACAGTTTATAATATAACAGTTCTTAAGAAACAGTTTCTACATATAGTTCACATATAGGCTACGTTTGGAGCAGTGATTTGCAACTTATGTTACTAGAAAGAGGCAAGAAGAAAGACAGTTAAAAATTAAACAACTTTTGCAAATTAAAGGACACATATCAACATGCAATCTTTAATTATCACCTGTGGACAAGGCCGCAACAGTCATAACATTTTGAAAAGGGGCCCGCTCTTGCGTTCATAAGAGTAGATAGTTTAGAAGTGAAAGTTTAGAAGAGTCGTTTAGGCTAGTTTAGAGTAGTTTAGAAGAGTTTTGTGCGTTACAATATGCATTATATAGGCTAGTACCCTAGACTGTGAGACAAGCCTATAAGCTTGGGCATTCATAAGTAAACAAAACTGACTGACAATCTACTTTGTATCAGTCATTAGAACTTTTCCTACTTAAATGTAACTTAATTGCAACATTGTAACACGCTGTATTCCATGTCTGCATGGCATGAATGTGCTTGTTCAAACGTCCACACAAATCAGTTACTTGTTAATCTGTAACTACATTGTATCCATTACTTATTGTCGTTTTAAATTCATTCATACACTTTCTTTCGGCTTTTAGTCACTTATTTATCAGAGGTTCCGTCATATGTTTTACGGATTTACTAAAAGTTAAAAGTTAAGCGGTTGTAAACAATTTATTTAAGCTTAATATAAACAAACAAATTAAGTAAAAATTTACTAAAATTAATTTGTTTGTTTAAACTCAACTCATATAAATTGTTTGCAACAGTTTTGCAGACATCATTTTTTTCAGTGCGGATGCCCTTTCAGCCGCAACCCA